AACGTGTCACCTGATTGTCGTAAAGTTTATACTAGATTTTTCAGATTTTTTTTCTAATGATGCTGAAAAATACTCCCTCTTTATAGAAAAATACAAATATAAACGTCTTATATTTGTTTATTTATAGAAGGGGTATATTTTAAGTATGCCTTTTCCATAAAAGAAAGGTATGTTCTAAATAAAGGGTCCATGAGAGCTACTCCTTGTGTACTCAAATGTAAGCTGTTTTTTAAGACGTTAAGCCGCAAAAACGTACTACATTTGTTTACAGAGAGAGTAAGCCGTTTTTGAAGACGTTAAGCCGCAAAAACGTACTACATTTGTTTACAGGTAAAACACGTAAACGTTTAAGCCGAAGCTTGTTTTTCTTTTTCCGAAACAGGGTTCTTATGTGTCTTCTTATGTAGTATACTCTGTAAAGAAATGGTCTAAATGTTTTTATATTTCTTTACGGAAGGAGTATATACTCAAATAACTTCTTGCGCAAAGAACATTGTATAGGTTTGATTGAAAAATTAGTCTTGAGCATCGAAGGAACAAGAGAAAGGCATCACATTCCTGGTCCCATGCACGACCAGCCGTTCCCAGGCATAGGGGTCACCGGTCTAGGGGAGGCAGAAAGTGCCACCTTCCGATCCTAGCAGCAGCACCCAAGCACGACCTCCTCCCACAGATTAATAATCACGCATATCCAAATCTTAAACAGTGCCGGCACCCATGATCTAATAAATTGCTATTTTTTGCTCTAGAGTAGGGCACCGCCACCACGGTTTGCCGGAGCAGAGCAACGCACAAGTTTTTCTTTTTAGCAGAGCAGAGCAACGCCCAAGTGAGCTCATACATTCCATCCACGGAAATCACCTTTCGGAGCCCCCAAATTTCGACGGTCCGGACGAGCTCGAGGCCCATGGTACTTGCCAAATCAGGCCATGGATGGTGCGCTGCAATTTGGACTCGATGTGACAGGTTAAAGTTGAGCCCTCCATCCATCCACTCCTGCGGTTAGGCCAACTTCAGCGCACGACCCCAAACAGACGTTCGTTTGGTTTGGATTCTGTCCGTTTGGACGGGTAATGAGACCGTATCCGGGCCATTTCTAGGATGTGGTGGTCGTGTGGCCAAGACGCGGACTCATCCTTTGATCGCATCTTGTCTGCCTCTCTTTTCAAACTCAAATTTTGGAATAAACCACGCCCTAGTTCATGCCAGCGGCCCTAGTTCACGCTGGCAACACAACCGACTTCACGTCCTCGTCGGCAACAGAGCCATTCTACATATCAATAGTTTTGTCGCCGGCAACACAACCAATGGCCGACAATACATTCAGCCTCCAAAATGAATAGGTTTCTCGCCGGCACACAACCAGCGACTGCTACCCATGCCAGCCTCCAAAAAGAACGGCCACGGCCGAACAGACCACCTAGTTCAGGTCGTCGGCGTCGAACATCTCCTTCTGCCTGGCCTCAAACCAGCTCCTCGTCTTCTCGCTCATCTTGATCAAGTCCACGCTCATGATCGTTAGAGCCACCTCATTTGTTTTGGTTGCGGCATTGGTGGCCTCGATGTCGAGCTGCCTCTGCTTGGCCGTGACTTGGCGGCCTCGATGTCGAGCTGCCTTTGCCGGGATGCCTCCTCCATGTCAATCTTTCTCTTCTTGGCCGCCAAGCTTCTTCCTTTGAAGCTCTAGGTATTGATTCATTTGCTCGTTCTTGCTTTGTCGCTTTTTCTTGTCCCTCGCATCCTTTTGAGACATCATATGCCATGCAAAGTCTCATGAAAGCCACAGATGACGCATCACGTATGTCGTCAATCTTGGAGTTGGTCTTGCCCCTCGGCCTCTTTGACGCCTCACTATCTCCACCTCCGGCCAACGCGACCGTCTTTTTGCCTCTCTTCCTTTGAAGTTCACGGTATTGATCTTTGAACTTAGGGCAATTGTTGATGAGCGTCCAATAATACGTAAGAGTGAATGGCTTGTCATTGTGCCGGGCCTTGAATGCTTCCAAAGATTGAAATGCGTACACGATCAACAACAATTGAACATGCAAACATATAGAAGGCTGGAGTCTCATGGCCGTAGAAACGAAAGATAAGAGAGCATACCATGTCCCCAATGCCGAGACCACTCACGGGCTATGCTTCAACGCTCTCAAGTGCGGCATAATACTTGTTGCATTCTTGTTGGATGAACAACCACCTCTTTTGAATCTGAGGTGATGCCACGGTCGCTTGCAAATTGTAGGGCGCAAACAACTTTCTTTCATGGAATGTTTTATGAACTCTTGTCCAAAAAACAAGTCCCTTTTGTTGCGCACCGGTCCTCAGATCTTTGCCAATCTCCATCCAACTTTGGCAAATCAACTTGTCCTCCTCATGTGAGTGTGATCCCGTACGAATGCTCTTCTTCCTCTTTTGTGCTTCCGCTCTTTGGGTGAGCTCGTCGATTAACAATGGCTCGCCCCCAATATCAATGCCTTCCTCTGCTTCATCATCATCACCTTCGCAATAGATGTCATCATCTTCATGCCACGAGTCACCATGATCGTAGTCAGCATGGTCGTGGGCCTCATTGTCTTCATCGGCAACGTACTGGCCGCCGCCATCTTGACTTTGGGTCTCGTAGGGATCATAGGCACCGCCATGCCCACCCTTGTAGATGACATTCTTCATGAATTGGTTGTAGAAGGGGTCATCGACTGTTGGCTTTGGCGTTGACATTTCGTCGAACAGGACGTGGTGCGTCGGCATGGTGCACTTAAACGGTGGCTGTGCTTGCTTTCTTTGCATCTCGACGGATGGCCGGCTGCCGCTGCTGAACCCCGGCGTGACATTGAGGTCGATGACGGTCGACGGGCGCGGGGTGGACGGCGCGATCACGCTAATGTCCGGCAACCCCGAGAAACGGGTCTGTCCTTCGTGCCTTGGCGGAGAAAAACCGGGCGACAAAGGCGTGGTCCGCGACGTCGGCGAGGGGTAGTGCGGAGGCTAGCGACCGACGAGCCTGTACTCACCGGGCCGACGGCCGTTGCCGAGAAACCCGCCAGACGGCAAATCCCAAGCATGAGGAGGGCGTGCGCTTTGTTGACGATGCCCTCCTTCTCCTCGACGTCGGTCTTGCGTCGCACGGCCTCCAACGCATCGCGCTCAACGGCGAACTTGGCCGCGGCGTTCTGTTCCTCCTCTTGGCTGATTCCGCATCCAGCTTTGCGAGCTCGGTCGGCGTGAGTTCCGACCATAGCTTCTTCTTGGCCGCCTTCTTCATTTTCTTCACCTTTCCGGGCGGGTCGATGGCTTGGCCATCGGATTTCGGCGGGGCATCGGCCATGGACGGGGAGGGTGATGGGCGGGACGTGGGAGGGTTTGGGGGGAAATGGGGCGAAATGGGACGACGGGATGGTGCTTTGTGCCACCGACGGGCGGGCCAGGGAAGGACAAGCCCGCGCGTCCCGCCTGTCCACGTGCTGCCTGTTTCACCTTAAAAGTGGCCTAAATTTGGACCGAGGATGGGTCGAAAGCGGACAAAAAATAAACAAAAACCCGTTTGCGCCCGTGCGCTGGGCTGTCTGGTTTGTCTGTTTTGGCTTAAACGGGCGCATCCGGACAGGATGGGGTCGCGCGCTGAAGTTGGCCCTTAAACGCATTCATTCACGCAGAATCATGAAGGCCACGCCTGGCTCTGTGGAGAGGACATGATGGTGTCTGGATCGTTTTTTTGCTGGTTGCTGCGACTGTGTTGAGTTGATTCAGATGGGACACTAATGATGTTATCAATTGCTCAAGGAACAGTGATCAAATTGAATGGAACGTCACATTCTTCCCTTTTCTCTAACCAAAAGGTCTTAGATCTATGGATCAAACCAGCAGTGCACGCATCCTTAAATAAAAATAAATAAAGAAAATACATCAAGGTCTTTGGAGGGCTGATCGCCTACTTCGTTATATAAGAGCTGATGGCCGCCGCCTCTTCATCACCGGAGCGCAGTCCTGCTGGACTATCACCCTGGAGAACAAACTGTTGAGGTGGCGGATTACCGCCCCGGAGAACAAACCCTTGAAGCTGTCGCCGCCGGAAGATCACCGGATCCAAGATTCTAACATCCAAAAAAAAACTTACATGCCTCACGCCGGCATCAGAGGCTGCACCAACGCGACGAAGAGGGGCCATAGGACTAAATTGCCAATGAAAGCTGCCGCCAACACCACACTAACAAACTCTGCAAAGGCTAACCTCACCGGGTATAGAGGCTGACATGAATCTACACCAAACGAGCCATCAACAGCCATGTAGCTGACGAAGTTGAGATGAGGAGGCTCGAAAAAACTTTATTTGCCAGATCGACACTGCTGCCACCACCACCAACAACAAAAACATTGTGTAACCCTACTAAAAACCCTAAAGTGGGGGAAAAACTTGAGCTCTATCATGTAGATCGTGCTCTCCCCGCACTCCCACATCAAGAGAGCTGGTGCAGGAGGAGGCGGGGTGACGACCTGACGGCGTAGGAGGGTGTGGCGACATGGTGCACCAATTTTTTTATCCTCCCTACGGTTTGGAGAGGAGAGAGATGTCCCAAGTGTAGAATGTCACATTCTTCGACAAGGTCATCAGTGCTGAATCGATACTCCCTCCGTTCCATAAATTTTCTCGTTTTGAACTAAAACCGACAAAAAATATGCAATGGAGGGAGTATCTTGCAATGTCGCGCATCCAAGAGTATGTATCCCGAGCCGGCACAAGGCACAGTGGTTGTTGTACACAGAGATCATCTGAATCCAGTATGTCCGTATTTCACCAATGGGTAGAATGAACTTGGGTGATTTAATTTATCTTACATTCTTATCACACCACATGTAAATACTCACTCCATTCGGAAATAAGTGTAGTACTAAAATCACGCCACTTATTTCCAAATGGAAGTAATAGATAATATCTAAGCCAACAGTCTTGGTATCTTGGTTTAGTAGGAACCATGATTACTTGCCAATACCACCAAGGAGGATTAGCCGTGGTGAATTGGCAAACAAAAATGTGCACAAGACGGACCAAAGTTGCCAAGAGATGATGCTGATGTGATGAAACAGCACACCATATCAACTGATGTGATGTAGTAAAACAGTAGTAGCCTAGAGCAGCTAATTGTGAACTTCAAGCGCGCCACACTCCTCATCACCATAAGCAAAACTTCAATAGTTTGCAATGAGTATATGTTTACATCCACCCATGTAGCTAGAGCCATGTAAACATGAAGAAGATGAAGGTTGCTACTAAATTATAAAGTTGACAAAACTGAAGAGCAGCTGCATGCCTAACAGATATCCATCCAAGAGCGCGTGTTGCCGCTGCTCCATTAATTCCTCAGGCAGCTACAGGCCCGCCTCCGCGGCTCGCCGGGGCGTGCTCTTCCGGCGGCTCCCGTTCTGCCGGAAGCCGCTGGACCTGGTCGTCGTCGTCGACTCGTCGTTGCTGGACCGGGTGCTCGAGCTGTTCTCCTCCATGTCGAGGTTCGAGCTCTCCTCCTTGGGCGCCCTGTTCCTCTTGTTGCCATTGCCTTCAGGGTCGTCGTTCTCCTTGAGCTTTGCGTCGCCTCCTTCTGCATCGCCATGAACGCCCGCTGCCGAGTTCTTGGGTTCTGCTGGTATATCGACTTTGTCCGGGGCGCGCTGCTTTTGGGGCCTTCCTCTCCTCTTCCTGGCAGGCACGACCTCTTCGCCGCTGCTCATCTTGTCTTCATGGCTCCTGCCATTGGCGATGGGCTTCCTTCCCCTGCCTCTTCCCCTGCCCATTGATCCAATCCAGCAGTGCCTTTTCTATAGCTGTATTGGGAAATTACTTGGGAAAAAAAATCGAAGCTCAACTGCTTGATGCAGCTGCTTCTGCTCGTCTGGTAGCTTATTGGAAGCAAGATTTTTGACCGCTAAAACCTCGATCTAGAAATCTGCAAGAAAAAGGACCGATAACTTACAATTTAATCCGGGGTTGGATTTAACCAGTATATCATTTCCACCACAATAACAATAATAATAATCAGTATCTCAGTGGTTGAATGAGATCCGTAGGGATCAAGAAGTTGAAGCAACAAATATCTCCATCAAATCTCAGATTGAAACACATCCATAGATAGAAGTAGAACACGCGAAAGAAGGAAAACAGGGTAACCTAATCAGGAAAAAGGAAGCATCCAATACAACACATGAGGGACTAGGGAGGATGGTGAAGCTGACCTTGCATCAAAGAAGCATCTGGCTCAGGAAGCGTCTCTTGCACCGCATCCCATTTCTCCAGGCCCAGCAGAGGTGAAGAGCGCCGGATGGGAAAAGGCAAATGGATTGGCAGCGATCTCCGGATTCAGAGCAGAGGCCGGCGGATCAGGAGGCCGTATGGGAGTTTGGGGAAAGCTAGGAGATTCTTGAATGAGTAGGCCTGTAGGTGGTAGTGGTAGCAGCAGCAGCAGGCAGTGGTCTAGTGCTACCACTGGGCGCTCGGCTGCTCGAGCTCCTCCAGACAGCGGCTGTAGCCGCAGCAGGGACAGCGTACACACTGCGCGCACCACGCCAGGAGAGAGAGGGGGAAGATGGGGGAGGGGGGCTCGCTTGCTTTGCTGGGCCGCTTTCCCGTGGCTCGCTCGGCTCTCACTCGCTTTGTTTACGGTTTACCAACCGTTGAAAACGAGCTGCGGCTGCTCCGCCGTGGTGCAGTGCAGTGCAACTGGCCTGACAAAGCGCCAAATGTTTATTGGCGCGGGCTGCCGTAGCACGGCGCGGTTACCGCTGCGTGATGGCCGGGCTACTGTTCCATTGGTGTTTGGTGCGTATGTGCTCTCGAGGGATTCAAAAACGGTGGCGACGGACGGGAGGACGGACGGACAGGACAGGAGGGATCCCAAGACTGACAGCCGAGAAAACCAGGGGCTACGGCCAAGGCCAGTGTGGAGCTCTTCTCCTGTCCTCGCTCTGCCCCATAACGGATGTGTTGTTCATTTCTTTGCTGGATCTAGTTGATTTTTCTGCCAAACTATCAGAGCATCTACATCCAGATTTGGCACATCATTTACCGAGCACCCCTCAAATGTTACGTCGCACATTCATATATCATAAATTTCGATTCTCAAATCCATGCAATCCATGGACGTCGATCATACAATACAAACTGTTCGAATGTCCAAGTTCGAAACAAATCAAAGCAAATCATAGTTCAACAAACCGGACATAGCAAAATGAAATCAATGTCCGAGCGTGACGGGTGGCCTCGGATCACTGGCTGGGCGCGTGCTTCGAGTAGAATACGTTCTGGTCGTCCTGCTCCGCCTGCATCCGGGCCTCGTCGCCTCGTACTTTCTACGGTCGTTAATCTCCTTCTCCTTGTCCACAAGCCAGTTATTCGAATGCTCATCATAGAGGGTCTCGTCCGCCAACATGATCCTCGCATCTTCCACGTCCCCTACGAGTTGCAACCTCCTTCTGAAGCTCTATGTCGCCAAATGTCTTGGCCTTCTCGAGCTCCCATTTGATCGCCGTTTGTTGCTTCTCCAACTCGATCTTCTCCCTCTCAATTTCCAACTTCTTCTCCGCTTTCTTCCGGTCCCACTCCATCCTTTCCTTTTGCGCATCCAACATGAGCTTGTACCTCTCCTCCTTCTTACTCTCCCTCACCGGAAAAATGCCCGTCCATGTTGATGACATTTTGGTAGCCACGGGATCACGGACGTCATGTGCCTTCTCCCACTTGTTTCCCATGACTTGGCGGTTGTCCTTTGGCACGGTGGCTTTCCCATTCTCCATGACAACATCGCCCTCTTCATCGTCCAACCCAATTGATTGGTTGGAGCTTGAGACATCATTTATCTTCTTGCCGGACTTGAGGCCGGCCACAACTTGGTTCCACTTCGGCTTGCCATTTAATATGACCCAACAATGGCTAAAAGCAAATGGCTTCTTCTCCAACTCGTGATACATAGTGGCCGCCACCACCGTCTAGCAAACAACATATGTATGAGCATGAGAATGCAAACACAAGAAGCATATGCAATGGACGACAACATGAGGCAATCGAGCTTACGTGAGTTGTGACTCCCATCCTACTTTGAGAGTGTTTGGTTACTTGTGAGTAGTAGCTGACGTACTTATTCACTTCCCCTTGAATGATCCCCAACGATGTTGGAGAGATGCCACATTGCAAGTGGTCACGATAGGTGTTGGGTAGCGTAGCAATTTCAAAAAATTTCCTACGCACACGCAAGATCATGGTGATGCATAGCAACGAGAGGGGAGAGTGTAGTCCATGTATCCTCATAGACCGAAAGCGGAAGCGTTAGCACAACGTGGTTGATGTAGTCGTACGTCTTCACGATCCGACCGATCCAAGTACCGAACGTACGACACCTCCGAGTTCAGCACACGTTCAGCTCGATGACGTCCCGTGAACTCCGATCCAGCAGAGCTTCACGGGAGAGTTCCGTCAGCACGACGGCGTGGTGACGGTGATGATGTTGCTACCGACGCAGGGCTTCGCCTAAGCATCGCTACGATATGACCGAGGTGGAATATTGTGGAGGGGGCACCGCACACGGCTAAGAGACGATCAACTTGTGTCTATGGGGTGCCCCCTGCCCCCGTATATAAAGGAGCAAGGGAGGGAGGCGGCCGGCCTAGGAGGAGGGCGCGCCAAGGGAGGAGTCCTACTTCCACCGGGAGTAGGACTCCTCCTTCCCTTGTTGGAGTAGGAGAGAAGGAAAGAGGGGGAGAGGAACAAGGAAAAGTGGGTTGCACCCCTTGTCCAATTCGGACCAGAGGGGGGGGAGGGGGCGCCTCCTTCCTTTGGGCCTCTCTCCTCTATTCCTGTATGGCCCAATAAGGCCCATATACTCCCCGGCGAATTCCCGTAACTCTCCGGTACTCCGAAAAATACCTGAATCATTCGGAACCTTTCCAATGTCCGAATATAGTCGTCCAATATATCGATCTTTACGTCTCGACCATTTCGAGACTCCTCGTCATGTCCCCGATCTCATCCGGGACTCCGAACTCCTTCGGTACATCAAAACTCATAAACTCATAATATAACTGTCATCGAAACCTTAAGCGTGCGGACCCTACGGGTTCGAGAACTATGTAGACATGACCGAGACACGTCTCCGGTCAATAACCAATAGCGGAACCTGGATGCTCATATTGGCTCCCACATATTCTACGAAGATCTTTATCGGTCAGACCGCATAACAACATACGTTGTTCCCTTTGTCATCGGTATGTTACTTGCCCGAGATTTGATCGTCGGTATCTCAGTACCTAGTTCAATCTCGTTACCGGCAAGTCTCTTTTACTCATTCCGTAATACATCATCCCGCAACTAACTTATTAGTTGCAATGCTTGCAAGGCTTAAGTGATGTGCATTACCGAGAGGGCCCAGAGATATCTCTCCGACAATCGGAGTGACAAATCCTAATCTCAAAATACGCCAACCCAACAAGTACCTTCGGAGACACCTGTAGAGCACCTTTATAATCACCCAGTTACGTTATGACGTTTGGTAGCACACAAACTGTTTCTCTGGTAAACGGGAGTTGCATAATCTCATAGTCATAGGAACATGTATAAGTCATGAAGAAAGCAATAGCAACAAACTAAACGATCAAGTGCTATGCTAACGGAATGGGTCAAGTCAATCACATCATTCTCCTAATGATGTGATCCTGTTAATCAAATGACAACTCATGTCTATGGTTAGGAAACATAACCATCTTTGATCAACGAGCTAGTCAAGTAGAGGCATACTAGTGACACTCTGTTTGTCTATGTATTCACACATGTATTACGTTTCCGGTTAATACAATTCTAGCATGAATAATAAACATTTATCATGATATAAGGAAATAAATAATAACTTTATTATTGCTTCTAGGGCATATTTCCTTCAATAGGATGCGGCTCCACATACTCCTTTTGCTCGTGATACTCCTTCCAAATCTTTGTCCAATAGGGTGTCCTCCCTTTGCTCGGTGCCGCATATTGGATCCATCATTGTGGACAACCAAGCTTTGACTAACCAGATGTCCTCAAATCTTGAGAATGTCGGACCTCTTGCCTTCGGCGTCTTAGTCTTCTTCTTCTTGCTCAGATTGGGATCGGATGTTGTCCCAACTTCAAATGCGGTGGTGGCCTCCAATTCATACTCCATTTCAGGCGGATCTTCATTGGTACGACAAGAATGCCTCCTACATGATTATAGTTTACAAGATTGGTCATGAGCGAAATGAACTAGTCGTCTATGCTAAAATCTGATCCAACAAGAGCAAAGAAAATGCATCGACTCTTGTTCGGTCATTCTGTCGAACATGTCGAGGGCAGCCCGAGCACTGTCGGAGCCTGCACTACTAGGAAAAGGGCTATAGATGGAATGGACACTAATGACGCACCTGTCATGTGGTGCGCCACTACTATATAGCAGTGGCGCACCATGTGCTGGCGCACCTGGCACATGGTGCGCCACTAGTAACAAAATGTTTTTTTTTCATTTTTTCAAACATACTAATGGCGCATCCGGACGGATTGCGCCATTAGTAGTTAGAACTACTAATGGCACACCAGCCGTAGAGTGCGCCACTACTGTATTTTTTTACTTCTTTGCAAAACTACTAATGGCGCACCGTTGAATAGTGCGCCATTACTAGTTTAAACTAGTAATGGCGCACTGTGCCACGGTGCGCCATTAGTATAAAAATTATTTGATGATATTTTCAATTAAAAATAAAAAAACAAATTTGATGATATTTTCAAAAAAAATTTG